CGTCCCGACCTCACCGGGGCCGTTTCAACCTCACTGGGGCCGTCCTGACCTCACTAGGGCCGTTTCAGCCTCACCGGGGCTGTCCCGACCTCACCGGGGCCATCCCGACCTCACCGGGGCATTGACCCATTATATTTTAACTAAAACAACAACCTTAACTTCAAGAATAAGTGAGATTAAATAATAAAAGAGAAATCCTGAAGTCTATAGGAAATGACATTACATAACAGTAAAATATCTTTTGTTAAGACTTGGTATCATATGTTGCAGAAAATTTGATATTGTATAAAATTTGACGTTTTAAGCACAAGGGAAAAACACAATAAGCAAAATTCCAAATATTATTTAAGGTCAAGTAACAATTCTGGTATGAAATTAAAATCCACTATTTTTAAAACAGCTCTAAATATTCAGATAGGCCATAATATTTTTAGTAAGCTTTAATATTAATAAGATCTATTATTAGGTTCATCTTTTATTTTTATTTATTTTAAAATATATTTTTATTGATTTCAGAGAGGAAGGGAGAGGGAGAGAGAGAGAGAAACATCAATGATGAGAGAGAATCATGGATCGACTGTCTCCTCCACGTCCCTTAAGAGGGATCAGGCCCACAGTCCTAACTGTGACCTCCTGGTTCATAAGTCAACAACTGAACCACACCAGCTGGGCATAGGTTCATTTTTAAACATAGGTTAGTTTTCAAATATTTATTTATCACCACGGAAAATAGTAAAAATAAACATATAATCAATCAGAAAAAGACAGTACAACTTCAGTATTTAGCAATAGTATAACTGTAGACAATATACAACTATAATCTCTCTCTCTCTCTCTCTCTCTCTCTCTCTCTCTCTCTCTCCACACACACACACACACACACACACACACACACAATAAGTGGTATGATCATAGAAAGAAAACAGAGATAATATTATCCTTCCCTCCTTTCCTAAATTATAATGACCATGGTTTGGTTTTTTGGTTTTTGTGGGATTTTTTGCTGGGATGGTGAAGAAAAAAAAAGAAAAAAAAAGAAAAGAAAAAGTGGTGTTTTAGTCCTAGCCCCGTGGTCGGCAAACTGCGGCTCGAGAGCCACATGTGACTCTTTGGCCCCTTGAGTGTGGCTCTTCCTAAGCCTTAGGAGTACCCTAATTAAGTTAATAACAATGTACCTACCTATATAGTTTAAGTTAAAAAAATTTGGCTCTCAAAAGAAATTTCAATCGTTGTACTGTTGATATTTGGCTCTGTTGACTAATGAGTTTGCCGACCACTGTCCTAGCCTGTTTTGCTCAGTGGATAGAGCATCAGCCTGGGGACTAAAGAGTCCAGGGTTTGATGGAATCCAGTCAAGGCACATGCCCAGGTTGCTGGCTCAATTCTCAGTACGGGGCATGCAGGAGGCAGCCGATCAATGATTCTCTCCCATCGTTGATATTTCTCTCTTTCCCTCTCCCTTCCTCTCTGAAATCAATAAAAATATATATATATATTTTTAAAAGGGGTGTTTCAGATACATAATAATGAACCTCATGCACATACAACTTACAAATTTCACTACCCAGCATTTATTTTTAATCTTCACATTGTTACTCCAACGGTAGCTGGGCAACTATCATTATATTAATTGGGCCATGAGGAAATAGAAGCATGAGAGATTCATCATTATTTCCCAGGACAACCCAATAATTAGTGACAAAGTTAGAAGCAGATTTAGCAACCAAGTTTCCTATCTGCCACTCAGTGTACTTTCCACTAGCCCAATGTTTCCCAAGCTTCATTCATTTGCATATCATTTTAGAACATTCTGACAGTGACGTGCTATTATTTTATTTACATAAAAAGTTCTTTTAATCTCAACATACCTTTGGGTATAAATAAATTTATTTCAAAAGGTAAGTTTATGTTGGTACCATAGCTTTGCATAAATAGGTTACTGTAAAAATAGGGAACAAATCAATGTTATTAAATCATGTCCATGATGTTTGTTTGCAGAAGGTTTTGACCCCAGTGGTTGACTCTTTCTCAGTAACAAATGAGATTTGTAATTAAAAGATGTGTCAGAAGCACATGAGCACCAGAATCTTTTTTTTCCTGGGAAAAATAATATTTGAGAAAGAAATTTTTAAAAAAAACTTTCTTATGATCTGATTTTTGGACCCTACACACTTATATCAACTCAAGTTCCATGAGAGACAGATACATGTCCCACAACTTGGGAATTCCTGCCTTAACCCAGAGCTTCCAGAAGATCAGGCTGCAACATGTGGTGGTGCCATGAATAGAATGAAATTTGCCCAACATTTTGCTCTCCTGTGTCCTTGATCAGGCTAAATAATCATAAGCAACCAACAACACTATACAGAGTACTGTACAGATCTTTTCATTTTCTGTAGGCAGAAGTGCACCAATTTGTCCTGATTAAAATCCATTTCTAAATTCCCCAAGTGTAGAATGCATTGCAGCAAATGGTGTGCAATAAACATGCAGAGCCTGGTACATAAGGGATCGCCCAGAAAGCTATGTTCTGAATCCAAATTCAAACGGTAAGGCCATCTCATTAATTTGTGTTTAGAGAGACAATAAGGCATTGGACAGTGTCATTCCTTAATTTGTATTCACAGAAAGAATATGGTGTTGGACAGTGTTATTTATTAAGAAATTCTGTCCTTTGAAATGCAGTATTCGTCTTGAATATATTTGTTGACT